TATGCCATTTTAGTAAAACTTCATGAATATTGACATATTAGACATATTATAGAACATAACCAACATATAAGACATTAACCACATTATAGACATACTCAACATTTTCACCAAGTAGCTCATTTCATCATCCAAGGAACCTTATCTAAAGTTACCTTAAGACACACTTGAGTGAGACATGAAGTGGCCGCCCATACAACCTCTTCATACACACCTAAGTGTTCCTCAAGGCTACTATAGACAAGAACCATCATGCTTCAAGGTAACATACTAAGTAACTCACTTCATTAACATAAGTTATTCATTCAACAAATCATTTAGACAATAAGTCAACATTCTTCTTTTAAAGTCATTTAGGACACATTTATGCATTTAGGGGACTTCACACTTTAGTCATATAGACTTAGAGATATCACTTTAGCACCTTCAAAGGCTACTCGTGCCATGTGTAGATAGCATCCCATACTACTACCTACATGGTGTAGAACCTATCAAATAACTAGAGTTCATATTAAGGGCATCAAGTTCTACATTTAAAGATCCAAGTGTCAAGAGTGCTCATAGCACCAATTTCCAAGAGATTCAATAACAAGGCTCGCCCAATATATACATCATGTCGTCACACCAAGAACAAGTATCAAGAAGGCCCGACGCCCTGTATCAAGAAGGGTCAAAGCCCAATAATCAAGAGAACCAAGAACCATATTAAAAATGGCTTTCTAATCCGTATTTAAAATGGACAACTTACATTCATAAGATGGACTAAAAATCCAGAGTCAAGATGACAAATGATCTGAATCAAGAGGCATGCCAAAAGTGACAAAGTCACAGCCACAAGAAGGACAAGGTCCCAACAAGAGTGCCAGGTGATCAAACAATCCGTACAAGTAGGCGAGTTACACAAATGTCTTTAATGCTTTAAATGATACCAACATGTCAATGCCAAGTGACAAGAGTAACCAATGTATCGAGATAACCCTTCAAATATACAAGAAAATAGCAAGAGTACAAGTACAAGTTTATACACAAACCTCGGGCTTTAGCATAGAAACAGTCCAATAAAACGTCAAGAATCCAAACCGTAGCCGACCAACGTATCAAGGTTCTCAGCTTGTACACGAGTATATATAACCTTCAAAATACAATTACATAACTTATATTAGCTCAGTAATGTCGAAGTAAAAAAGGATCATCATCGCAAGTAAGTCTACCATGTACAATTACAACTATGCTCCCAAAATAGTGAATCAGTTTAGATTTGAAAAGGAAAACGGTAAAACTAGAATTTATAACCTTCATGAAAAATGTAACTACATCTCTTAAGGTTGCAAACAAACAAGAATCACCGCAAAATACATTTTGTACAAAAAGATATATTCAAAACACTAACAGCTGATCATCCAGGATTTCAATTTCTGAAATCTGGCAGAACTTGCCCTTTGTTGCGTCCCATATATCGTGTTCATAACAGTTAAATTAGAGTTTTACATAAACATAAGAGTTGTAGGTATACGAGTTAGCTTTCCAAATCATATTTATTCATTGTAAACGAAGTTCTAGAAAATGAGATATGCATAAATTACCAAACACTACCCAGCTCAGAAACAAATTTCATCACTTACATATGAAAGGAATGACATAGCCTACCGATTCATATTCAACAAAGTTTTTCATTTATCAAGAAGAGCACCTAAGTCTACCAAGTCAAGAGATGACAATCAATAATATAAGGCATTTAACATTCCATCATCTTCATTCATAAGTATTAAGAGAGAACATGCTTTCAATCACAACCCCCTTGTATTTACAACATAATATCACGGTAATACTCAATTATTCCTATAATGTCTTCAAGGCCATGATCATAATTCAAAAGCAACAAGCAACACTTACACCTAAGGTGGATCCAACCTAAGAAGCAATTATAACAATATTAATAGATCAAGCCCTTTTACCACCTTTCAAAGTCCATAAGCCACAATACTCAATTCCATGCCAATTATACAATATTCATCAAGTTAGGTTAACTTACCCTCTTTCCCTAGCTATCTTCATCATCCTCATATTCCAAAAATCAACAATACAATAACAATGATAATAACAACATTCAACTATGCAAGCTAAGCTAAACAATATCCAATAACCAGCATAAAGGCTAAATCCCAATTTATGACTTTTCAAGGCTACTACCTCCCATTATACAATTCAATAACAATTTCCAGCAATTCAACATAGCTAAGATCATATAAGAACAACCCACATCAAACCATTCAATAATCCTTCATCAATTACTCAAAATCAATAGACCAACTTTAGGCCAAATTTAAAGAATTTGAGAAGGCATGGGTTCATAAAGATTTCTTTCTTAAAACCATCAATAATCATTAATAACAACATAAAACATCATTTAAAATCATTTAATGCAAGAACCAATGCTTAGAATTTGAAATCGGGTTTTGTGTATTTGAAAAACCTTGAAAACCTTTTGATTGGGCTCCTTGAAAGAAAGAATAATCAAGGAAAAAAGGATCCCCATACCTTAATCATCAAGAACCAAACGAAATTGAAGAAGAAATCAGTAGCCACCATCAACCCTAGCTCCATCTTTCACCTTAAGCTTCCATGGGGTTCTAGAGAGAACCTTTTTGAACGAGGGGTTTTGATTCTTGAAGAATGAATTACAAAAAAAATACCTTTTTAAATGTTTTAATATCTTATATTGCTATTTAGAAATAATATAAAATATACCCACTTCTTAATTTAACTAAAAATTAATATTTACGAAAACACCCCTTGCTCACGTGGACTTACCAAATAAAACTAAGGCAAAGTCCAAGGGAGCTTCGAAGGGCAGTGATGCCTTTCGCCTTCCTTGGACCCTCTCTTGAACTTATACTTAGTCAAATTTTTAGAAAATTTCCTAACTCCAATTTATGCTAAAACTTTTAAGATTCATATGTTAGACTCTAGTTTCACCTATCAATTTTTAGGGTCACTACAAGCACAAAATAAATGTGCACGACGGGGCTATAGCGGAAGAAAATCCAAGTCAAAACTTTCCCTTCTATTCGAATCAAAAGAAGACAAATAATGCAAGAACAAACTATTTGGGCAGCAAACAAATCAACAAAGCAAGAAAAATAAATCAACACACGAGACACCAAAGTTTAACGTGAAAAACCTCTTCTGTGTGCAGAGTAAAAACCATAAGGCCAAAACTCAACTAAAATCAATAAGAGTTACAAAAATGTTCTCCAAAATGGCCACCAACAAAGTGCCAAACAATGAGCAACACACCTACAAATAGCACCAAAAAACTAGAGAAATAAGAGAAGCAAACACCAAACCGCAACTATTGTTCACGAGCAAAGAATATGGAGATACAAGACTCCAAATCACCCTTTCTCAGTTCCCAATCAAAGATCAAGTTGAAAGGAGCAAGCTGTCCAAAAATCAGCTCAATTAGATAAGAAACGAAACGGGAATCGCGATTTGAACTTGGATGCTAGGGCTTGTGCGAAAATCTGCACTTTCTCACTTTTCTCTCTATGTGGCTGCTCTCAAACTCTTGTGATCTCTCTCGGAGAGTTTCAAATTTGCAATCGATGATAAACTCAGAGGAAAAATGACCATCGTTGTTCCGACTTCGGAGGAAGATCCATCGCTTATCGTCGTTCAGTTCAGCGCTCAGATGTCATGGGCTGACGCTGACCAAGAGGTAATCTTTATCTTGCTCGACAATCTTCTATCACTCGAACTGCGTCTATTTTTATTGCTTGTTTGAAATTTATTTAGCTTAGACAGGATTCTCTCAAACGATTCACGCGTTGTAATCTAGTTATAATTTTCTATTTCAAAAATACTGGTGTTTTAGACAATCTGGATTTGAAATGTGGGTGGTTTAGTAAATTGTTGTATGGAATTTGTGAGGACGGATTCTGAGGCTGGAATTCTATGGCTGTGGTATTTGTATATGTTCTGAATGGATTTATATGACATGTACATAGGTTGCAGAGTGTCAGGTGAATGGGTTGTGTGCCGAGATAGAGAAATAGATAATTGAAGGAAGATATCTAGATTTGTCTTCATTGATGCTCTCTTCTGCGGATTTGATATTTTCTAAAGCTTCTAAGAAAGGTAAAATTCACATTTCAGTTGATTGAAATGATCCAAAGTAGTCTACACGGGAATGGCCGAGTGGTTAAGACTTAGGAGTAACAACATGTAGATCTGTGGTTAAAATCTTTGTAATTACTACACTCAGTGTGAGCCTTTCTATTCCAATCTTGGTGGGTACATTTACCCGATATGTGTGTTGTAACAAGCTACAATTGGATTAGTCAATGTGTATACAAGCTCACCCAACGCTTTTTCACTAAGACCAACAAAATATATAATCCAGAAATTCTCCATACATTATACATAATTTTCTAGAAGACAAGTTCCATCATATTTTAATAAATTCTTGAGTCAAATTATGTTATTATCTAGCACATACGGGACTTCTATCTTTGAGAAAATTGTTTAGAGGCATCTCTTCTTTCTTCATCAATGTGAAGCAACCTCTAATTGTCTGGCACATTGAAACCATCTTTTCACATGTTATGTTTTCCGAATTTTGTTTGTTTTTTGAGTTATGTAATCTGTTTTAATTGGTTTCTACCTCAGATCTTGAGTGCATTTTCACTATATATAATCTGCAACTTTGTTAAGAAACCTGAGAGTTTGGACCAAGTACACGAGATGACAGAGCTCATATCCTTTATACTTTCTCAACAACCAAGTGATAAGCCTGCATTTCGCATAAATGTATCATGTCTTAAAATTAATCACTTTAATTCCTGGAGTTTTTGTTTCTGGTGTCACAATATGCTTTGTTCCTCCTCTCATTTCAACTTGTTCAATCTCTACAACCTGTTGGAGAATCCTTATAGCCATTTCTTTGTGTATATAAAGGCCCTTAATTTGGCCATAAATAGAAAAGTTGCTGAACATTTCTTGCCATATTTCAAAAAGATAGATAGCTTCTTGAAAGAGTGGAATCTTGGAGTCAAAGATCTGAGGGGGTTCTTTCTTAAGATGTCAAACATTCTGAAGGAAACCAAGGGGTATGAGTGAATGAATTGTATTTTCTGGAGAAACCTGTTCTTAAAATTTTCGCATTCTTCTCTGACTCCCATCTATATTTGCAGCTCTGCAAAAACGTCTTTCAAGTTTCTTATAAAGTATTTGGAAACTTTCTCGGATGAAGATGCTTTTGCCTTGAATGAGGCAAAGGAAAAAGCTCTCCATGCAATTATTGCCTTTGTCAAGGCACCTTACATATTTCAAGTATATATATGTTCAACAGTACTCTGATGTTGAATTGCTTGGATAAAAAGGCAACTATTTTCTAATTTGAACAGTCTGTTGTTTTTGTTTTAGATTTCAAATCGCCAAATTCTTTCTTTTCCCACGCTCTGTCGGTATCTTGTAGAGTGTTTTTTTGGATGCATTGGATACGTTCTATTGCTAGCATGTAATTGTATAGGTGCATCAAATTAAACTCTTGTATTAGAGTTACCGTATACCTAATATTGGTGGGAGGTGATATGTATACTATGGAATTAGTTTGAGAGTATGAAAGTTGGCTCGGACACCAGGGTTATCCAAAAAAAAAGACTATTATTATACGACATGATTGTCTCCCTCATCACTGTTAATCTGAGTGATTTGCTACGTAGCTGGAATTAAGCAACCAACATCATACACGATGTGTTCTGATTTTTACTATTCTGGGTAAACTACTTGCCATATTTACTCTTGACTTTTAATATGATAGTGTGGTTTGCTAGATATACCTATTATAGTCTAATTGGAGAAACATGTTAAACATGCTCTAGCATATTAGCTTTTGAAGATCTTTCTCACTGGTAGGTTAGATGATTATATGAATTTCCAGGAGGCAAATTCAGAATTATTAAAAACCTAAGGTCAGTACTTAAATTTCTGCTAAATGGAACTTTGGTGTATTTTATGAGTGAACCCTTGAATTTATAATGCTACCCTTGGCCTGATTCTTCTGGTTAATGCAACAGGACTTCTCCATGAAGATTGTGTAGAAAAAATGATATTATTGACCTTGGTAGATCTTGGCATGACGGAAACTGGTCAAATTCCTTATTCCATGATCAAAGACACATTGAAGGTACATTTATTGTCCATGGCTTGTAGTTTGTATTCGTGCTCCCCAGTTTGGTCGTACCATTGGTCTTTTGCTTTTTGCAGATCGATGATATTGAGGTGGAATCGTGGGTTGTTAAGGCAATTTCAGTTAAGTTACTCATCTGCAAGATAGATCAAATGAACCAAGTAATAATTGTGAGGTGTTCTTTCTGTGGTGGTCGTCTTTTATTATCATTGCCTCTACTTTGGTTGTATAAGTTAACTCTGGTTAGTTAAGCTTTTATTGTTCATTATTCGTAACATTTTTCTTTTCCTTCGAATGAATGTTGTGCAGCCGATGTACAGAGCGTGTGTTTGGGACAAGTCAGTGACAATTGCTTCGAGCAAAGCTTGTGACCTAGAGAGTAAGTCACATTCTTCTTAAACTCTATTCATATAGTCAATTTGGGTTCTAAGAGCGGGTGTGACTAGTTACCATGATTCTTGTTGCTGCTCTTCCAGAGCCTTTAGACACATAGTGATGCAGAGAGCATATTTCTATTATCCTTCCACTTCATTTAGTTAGATATCCTTAACATCTAATTCTCATTTATAATGATTATTGTGATCTCTGTGTTTGATTAATGTTGATGAGTATAAACTGTTTATAGGGAAATATTGCAGGTGTTATTAGTACAATTCATGCTAACAAGATAAGTTGAAGATAGCACACAAACAATGCAAGGATTAGCGATCCACTGAAGGTTCTTTTTGTTAGTTATATGCGAAAATCATCTTCTTTAAATTTCTTGGAGACTAGATTAATTAGTTCCCATTTAGAGTCATCTCTTTCAAGCAGAAATTTTGACATTATTCTTTCTGCATCAAATTTCTCTGAGTTTCTTAAGCTGCACTTGCTTTTTTTTCCAAACAAGTTTACATATGTAGTTTTATGAGATTACAGGGTTTTAATTATAATTTGCAATTGATTCCAGTATTTCAATGTCCAACTTTCAATTTTTTCGGCATCCTTGGAACATGCCTAAGAAATATAAAGGTGTCAAAAAAAAATTTTGGAGATAAAGTTGCCTCCATTGTTTCCACCTTTTAAAATTAGGAGGTGTGTCTAGAGTTGTTGTCGTTCTCTTAGTAGACGATTTGGTGTGGTGGATAAAGGGAGACAATTCTGATATACATTTTTAGTATCCTTTTTGTTGCACAATCTGTGTTTAAAACAGTAATACTGATTACAATAAACTTTGGAAAAATACGAAGTTACCAAAGTTTAATTAACCAGTGAAGAACAAAAGAACATAATTTAATTCACAAAACTAAAATTTGTAAAAACATACCAGAATCTGGAAAAACAAAACAGGAAGAAGATCAATCCCACTAAATGCACAGTGTCCCCTTAAGGAAATTATTTCCCTCTAGTATTTCTGAGGTTTGATTTGGAATATGTCCTCCCAGGATAGAATGATCTCAATCACCAGTGTATTGATACGCAAAACTCTGGTGTCAGCGAGCCACTCAACGGTAGTAAAGTACACGAAAAATATTTGTGCAGAAGAAGAAGAAGAAATCAGAAACTTTCGTAAGTAAAAAGTTTGAAGGATTACGAGTATTTATAGCCAAGAGGAACTGGTTCCGAAAGGTTGCAACCTTTCAGAATCTACACGACCATTCATGAAAGTTTGCAACCTTTCAAACGGTCATGGTTGTTCCTGAAAGTTGGGAAAGAATTTAAATAAAACGGGTCGCGCGGATCCGAGTCGGGTCGGAATTTCGGTTATAATACAATACTTTGTCCAAAAACTAATCTCTCGATCGATCATTTTCCAAAGACGCCAAAGCCGAGCCGAGCGAGCGACGACGACGGCGCGAGGAGATCCCTCTTTCCAACCCTTTTAACAACTAATAGAAGTGTTTCTCTATTTAAACACATCTATTTTCTTTTCCACCACCAATGAGGGAGAAATGATTTTTCTTAAAGTATAAGAGAATTTTTTCCAATTCCTCTTTTTATCTTCCCTCTATTTCCCATGAACTCTTGTTATACCCAACACTTTTGACACGTTTGGTGTAATAGATAAAATGAAATCATCATACTAGTACCCTTCATTTGGTAGATATGACATTTGATTGACGATTTAGAAATCTACATAACTAATATCATCATTACTAATGCAAGCAGTCTAAATAGACTAGAGCATATTTTTTTATATATAAAAAGCAAAACGGACAAAAAAGATGAAGTGGTAGAAAGTTTGTATCTTCTGCAGTCTTTCTTTTCCTCTAATAATGCACGCATTATTAGGTGGGGACCCCCCTACCTAAAAAAGAGACCATTTATTAGTGATCCGTGAACACCTTCATAATATTCATGAGTCAATAGTCAGCAATAATAGTGTGAGATTTCTAAAATGAGGAGCTTTACTTTCTTTTGCCTATCCATGGTGATGATAGCGAAGATTTTGCTCTCTGCTTCTTCGGTGACACACGGGACGATGATCGTTGATAGGCAGTGGAACGGCACCGGAGAAATGGATGGTATTAATTGGCAGGTTAGTCTTGCAGGTGGTGGAAATTACTTGTCTTTCAAAGTTATTAACGATAAGCCGCCGATCTGCAACGAGAAAGTGTACGGGAATTGCATAGGGGACAAGAAGCCTGGGCAACGGCCATGTACCTACTACAATAACTGCAAGCGTTCTCCAGGTTAAAACTGAATCTATGAAGTTAAAGTGACTTTAGAGTGATTTCTCTACCTATAAATAGGGTTATCATTTACCCTTATAAGTGACACGAGAAGACATTTGAATAAAGATGATCTCTTGTCTATATATCTTTTATATTACTTATGTTTTATAAGGAGCTAGGGGAGGGGTATTGTTAATTTCTGTTACTACATCTTATAGTGGCCAAAAAGAAATGTGTGTGTGGCTGCTGGACGTGGAATTCTCACCACTAAACTACAATCACTCTCTGTGTTCATGATAATGATTATAAATTGATTAAGTTATGTAAATGAACATAACCTGTGTGTATATACTTCCAAAATGGCAAGATTTACATATGTTCATATTATCTTTTTCCCAATTTATGTATTTCGAGAATTGAATTGAATTTTGATTTTGAATTCAAGCGTGAAATCTTAAAATGTGTTTTGAAATAAAATTTACATATTTGAAAACTACTTAAAATGTATTATAAATTACAGTAATAATTTATATTCAGATAGTATTTATTTAAAACATGCATATATGAAAGAATAAAAATTTAAATTTCGAAATTCGAAAAGTGTCACAATTGAAACGGAGGGAGGAGCACTCAAATTATATAAAAGTACTACCACTTGTTCTCTTAATTAATGTGGGAAACTAGTGTAAAAATTATGCAACATGGAGTTTGATGAGCTTTCACAATTCAGACAGAAGATAACAATTAAGATCGTATTGACCACAAAAGTCTTATTCGGAGTATTCTTTTTAATGTAATAGATAATAATGTAAAATCGTGTCGAGAACAAATGAAAATGAAGTGATCATTTAATGGAGTTTTAGGGAGCCAAATAATTAACAGGATTAATCAACCAACTCGTACAAATTTAAGCAAATTAATGATTCGTTTATTTATTATATTTGGTTTATTTTGATTCACCAAATTTAAATATTTAGTCTAGAATTTGCTCTTAAATATTTTCAATTACACTAATTTCAATTACCTGATGGCTTTCCAAACAGACCTTATATATTTGGCACGGAGAAATATTTTTGTAGGAAACTAAACTTTTTTAAAATTGAAAAAATAAATATGATTGTCTCCCCCATCGTCACTGTTGAGAGTTTTTTATCAAAAACATTCTTAAACAGTTAAACTATACCCCCAACTTAAAGTACATTATTAAATTGTTTTTCTTAATCCCTCAATTATTTAAAATTTGACATCTTTCATCCTTTTGTTAAAATTTGTCAAAAATTAGCAAATTCTTCACAAAAAACATATACGATTCACGCTATTCTCAACAAAACTCCTTAAATCACCCCAATAAATCAATATTGTTCATTCTACGTACATCTAAAATAATATTGTGAATTTTATTTAGCAACACCGTTTTACATAGTCTTCCTTTTAATTAATAAACAATTTTGTTTTTATTTACTTTTCATTGGATTTGATATCAAAGAATTATCAGTTGAAATATTTTCTTCTCACTGAATCTGTAAAAAGTGGTATAGATCGGAGACTTTTACTTCTAATAATGGAAAACGAAACTCGAGTACTAGAGATCAAAATCAGCTGAATCTTGATCACCTCAAGTATCGATTTGCCCCAAAAAAATTATAGATCTAACGATATTTTGACTTTAATTTGCAAGGTGAAGATGATGTGAAATTAAGCTCCAACTCCATTCAATTGGTGAAAAAGAAGAGCAGATCATGTCTCCTCATAGACTCACACTATCCTAACATATTTTTTAAACAACAAACAAGAGTTTTAAAAAAATATTTTTTATTTTATTTTTGGAAGCTTTTTCCAACAGATAATAAAATTATACATTTTTTTATAAGAATAATATGAATTGCATATGTTTTTGTGTGGAATTCGCTAATTTTTTGACAAATTTTAACAGAGGGATAAAAGTTGTTAAGTTTTAAATACTCGAAAGATATTTTTTGTTAAAGAAGGATAATTTAAGGATATAGATTAAGTTGGGGTATAGTTTAAAGATGTTTTTAACCAAAAACTTTCACCGTTGATCTAAGTGATTTTCTGGGTAGCTAGAATTAAGCAGCCAACATCATACAATATACATGATGTGGTTTGATTTATACTATTATGGGTAAACTAGTTTGAATTTTGCCAATTCTCAGTTTTTAGGATCTAAAAAAGCCTGCATCAAAGTTTTTAGAGAAAAATGTTATGTAGTAGTTCACTAACATGATCATATCTAAGAGACTAAGACCTATCAAAAATCAATTGAACCCAGGGGTACAAATCTGTAGAAATAGACATACGAAGTAGCCGAAGGGGGTTCGACATTTACTATATATACATAAAAAAATATTTTAATCATGTATAAATAATATAATTTTCCGCTGAAGGGGGTTCGGATGAACCCCTTAGTATAAGGTGGCACAGCCTCTGATTGAACCATGTAATATTTGGTTATATTTTTAATTCGTCTTTTCCACATGTTAGTTTGAGTAGTTAAACACTTAAAATTTGTGTTTTGTTAATAGGTGGTATCAAGATTTGAATTTGTAACTTCTATATCTATATATGGAAATGTACGATCAACTCATCTAAGCACTTAAATGTCAAAAGCACACCTAAATTATCTTCTTTTTTTGAGTTTCATATCTAAACTATCACTTATTAGCTTGAGAAAAACACATCTCTCTTTTATAACACTCTTATCATGGTGTGTGTAATACAATCTCTGTTTTATTAAAAATTTACCACATCACACTTCACATGCACAAAATTTTTCACCTTGACAAAAATTAATAAATTATTAGTATTAGTTAAAATTAAAGATTTAAAAACTATTATTCATTATTTTTTTTATAAAATAAAATTTAAAATATTTTTCTTACCCCAATCCATCACTTCATTTCACCCCCCCCCCCCCTTCAAATACTAACTTAGATATTATTTTATTTTCTTAAAAGAATATTTTACCCACTTCACCTAACGTCCGCTTTCAAAAAAAATTTCTTGTTTTGTGTTAGATATATACATATCAAAAATATTTTTTTCTTGCCGCTGCAAGACTTTTTTTAAAATAAATTTTTTATTTATATTATATTCAGTAAACAAGTAGAAAAAATTCCTAAAAATATATCTAACTTTTTTTTTATCAAACAAATAAACCTTACGCTCAAAACCATTTTTGATAAATCTAACCCAATTTTCGTATCTTTAATTTGATACCTCCTGTTATTTGCTTGTTTCTCTCACATGGAGTTTTAAACTTTTGTTTGCTCATTATCTCTGACTGAATCACTTTTGAAAAGGATGAAAGCTAGAAATTTTTCTAAATTTAGAATTAGTTCAAACTTCATAAATATCGGTTTATAAAGCATTATATGAAAATATTTTAACTACTTGCTTTCATCTTGTTTAATCCGTATGTCTGATTTTTAAATAATAAGCTTTTACAAACACATTGGGTTTATAAAAATTCTGCTAGTTTTGGATTGGAAGTTGTTGTTCTTAAAGAAAGAAAAAAGAGGAAGAAAAAAATAGAAAAAACATTTAAATTGACAGTGAAACGGATTTGGGTTGGGTGGAGTTTATTTTATTTGATAAAAAGAAATTTGCTGGACCAATGAAATTTGGCCACTTGTTTAATTAAATTCACATTAGATTTTTGTTAACTAAAGGGTATTTTTGAGTCCAAACAAAATGTTGAGACCATTTTTAAACCAATAGGTTGAAGCAACCATTTCTAATAGGTTAAGGGTATTTTTGAGTCTTTTTCCAATTTTTTATTAATATTAATAGTTTATTATTTAATTTTGGTCAATGTAAATATTTAATTCATGTGGAATGTCAGGTGTGAAGTTTTTTCAAATAAAATAGAGAGTGCATTACACACACTACTGAGTTATGTTTGTCAAATTAATAAATGATAGTTTATGTATGAAACTCAAACTTTCAATAGTTTAGATATTAAACTCCCAAAAAAAAAGATAGGGTAGATGTATTTTTCACGCTTATCTAAGTTATTACAAGGAACATATTTTTTGCTATCAAACGCAAAAATGGACAAAAAAGATAACTGGTAGAAAGTCTGCATCTTCTGTACTGAGGGCAGAGCCACCTTGTACTAATGCGGTTGATCGAATCCCTTCGACAGAAAATTATATTATTTATATATGGTTAAAATAATTTTTTATGTATATATTGTATATGTCAAATCCCCTTCGATTACTTTGTGTGTTTATTTCTACAGATTTTGAACCCCTTATAAAAAATTCTGACTCTGCCATTATCTGTAGTATTTCTTTTGTCTAATAATGCATTATTAGGGGTCCTTAAAATAATAGACCCTTTATTAGTGATGTGTGAATATTCACCTTCATAATATTCATAGGAACAAGGCAATAATAGCTAAAATGAGGAGCTTCATTTTCTTTTGCCTATCCATGGTGATGATAACGGAGATTTTACTCTCTGCTTCTTCGGTAACAATGAACGTTGATTTGCGGTCGAACAGCACCGGAGAAATCGATGGTATTAATTGGCAGGTTAGTCTTGCAGGTGGTGAAAAGTACCTCTCTTACCCAGCTACTTTGCAGCGGCCACCGGTCTGCAACGAGGGAGTCTACGGCAGTTGCGTGGACAAGAAAACTGGCAAATTACGCACATGTTCGCTCTACACTAGATGCGACCATTCTTCAGGTTGATTCATCCGTCAAGTTAGCCGGAATATTGTTACTCTCTTTATCTCAATTTACGTCACACTTCCATTTTTCGACAGTTTAAAGTAGTGGCCAAAAAGAATATATGTGGCTGCTGGGATTCGAGCCCAGGTCTCCACGGCCACAACGTGGAATTCTCACCACTAAACTACAGCCACTTTGTTGATTTTCGATATAGTGTAAAGATTATAAGTTATGTAAAAGATTTAGATATGCTCATATTGTCTTTGTCCCGGTTTATATGGCACAAGTTAAATTTCAAAGATTAAACTTTAATTTTAATTGTGAATTTA